CCTGTTCTGACTTTTTTCTAGTTCCCTGTCTAGAACTTGTAATGCTAGTTACTCTTGCCTTTACTTCTCCTTCACATCTCCTATTCACCAGTCAAGGACTCTTTTCCCCTTAGAGATAAGAGTTATGCAATAGGGAATCTTTTAGACAGACCCACTGAAGGGGTACCCCAATTGCCTCGCCTTGAATCCTTGTTCAGCATTGGAAGAAGCCAGAGCAGTCTGCGTCCGATTCCCTATCTGCAAGGTGGGTAACCTCTTCCGAGGATGGTGTGATAAGAATAGGAGGTAGGAATAGGCTAGGTAGTTAAGGTAAAAAGATCCCAAATAAAAGTAGCCAGTTTCTTGGTTAAAAGTCACAATGTCCCTGAGTCTCTTAGCAACATACTCTGTTCCAAAGGCCAAAAATGTCAAAAGTATTTGGGAGCTTTTATCTAATCCTTGAAAGATTTTAGGGTTACCTCTTCAGAGGGGAAAATGTTAAGAGTAGCAAAAAGTCCCATTAAAAAAATAAGAGTAAAACAAACAAAAAAAGAAGTAAACTGTGTAAACTATGAATCAAGTAGTTATGTTCTGTGATTCCACTTATGTGATAATCTTGAAAAGATAAAATGATAGAAACAGCAAATATATCAGTGGTAATTAGGGTAGTCAGGAAAGGTTTTTCTTTTTCTTTTTCAGTAAGGTGTGAAAATATTTTTTGGAATAAAGAACTATTCTGTATTTTGATTGCAAAAAAAAAAGGTCCCAAAATTAACTGTTTATTATCTTAGTAAGAAAGTGATGCACAATTCATAAACCGCCCCCCGCTTCCTAAGAAACACACATATGAAAAGATTATTTCTTCTGGTAATTCAAACATACTCTATAATTGAAAACTGTTTTAAATAAAGACATCAAGACTGGCATTTCCCTAGCCTATACTTCAGGCCCCTTTTTAATGATAAAAATCTTCTACTTGCTTTCAGTATTATTGAAAATTCCAAAATTAACTACTATGAAAAATAAGTACAATACAGCATGCTAACCCTCCAGAATTTGCCAATCTTATGACACTCCAAAAATGTAGCTCAGAGTTAACATACCACTAGCTGCCCTGAAGCTGGCTAATGCAGCAAAGACTCTATTGTCACATTCACTGCTCTTCAAACTGGACAGCAACCTGTGACACCGTGGTGGCCACATTCAAACCAAACCATTTGGAGCCGCTGATACTGCAGCCAAAAGCACACAAACCCTGGAGAGCTTGACCTCCTTCCCTCCCAGCCCTAATGTTCTCCAGGGTGCTCCTGGAGCTACGCACCCTGGAGCTGCAGTAAGGCATGTCTCACCTACCCCCCCAGCCTCACAATCCTAGCCCACAGCCTTAAGGGCCCAGTGAAATGAAATGACTGTCCCTGGCCATACTGAAACCTGTGTGGTTTGTGTTCCTGCTCCCACACACATCCTGGAATAGAGGGTAGTAAGGCTGGCTAATGTCTGTCTGGCACATAGTCAAGCCAAGCACTGGGCCAGGCATTTCCCCAACATCTTCTCTCCAAAGTGAGATTTACGAACACTTAATTAGAAATGTCTGCTATAGTTTGGGTATGGTCTGTTTTCTCTAAAACTCATGTTGAAATTCAATCCTCATTATGAAATATTAAAGAGGTGGCACCAAATGGCACTTTCAATAGGCAACTAGAGCTCTCCCCTTATAAGGGGATAATCCATTCAAGCAATGAACAGATTAATGAATGGGGTGGCTATGAAAGCCAGTTTAGCTAGGTCTCTGGTATACCCCACCTCTCATCATGCAATGTTCTGCACAGCTTCCAGACTCTGCAGGCAAAACAGCCATGACCAGACACAGCCCCCTGAAACATGGGCCATAACCACAATCAACTTCATGCACACACATATGTGTGTGTGTGTGTGTGTGTATATGTATATATATGTATGTATGTATATAAAACTTGCCCAACCTGTGGTACTGTATTATTAGCAATAGGAAACAGACCAAGATAATATCCTCATAGACAATCCTTACATTGATTCCAGAACTGATCCCAAGGATACCCGGCAGGGAGCAACACTCTACCCAAAAGGAGCATAGCACAGACACCAAGCTAAACTCTGATGTGCAAAGAATATGGAAGAGATAAGCCAACAAGAAAAATGTCAGCATGCCAACAGAAAACCACTTTGGAACATAAGTAGCTTCTGAACAATCCATTACTTCCACAACTCAATTTTAAAACAAAAAAGTACTCTTGTGTTTTCTGTTTTTCTTCTCAATGATATGGGCCACCAATACTCCCAGGGGCCCAGTTCCACCCCTGCAAATCATCCCTGACTTTTACTTATACTTCACTGTCCACATCTAACCCAATGCCAATTCTGTTTAGATCTACCTTTTTAACCATCTCTCTAAGCTACCTGTTCCTCTCTCCTGCATGTCCAAAGGACCCCAATTCCCATTCCTTGAACCCATGGCATTTCACTGTCCAGATTCCTACATCACCCTTACTCCTCTCTTTACCCCATTTAGGATCTGTCACTATGACTGTTCTTGGACACACCTGTACCCCCATTGCCCTGGTAAAACTGCATTAAACCCAATGGTCACCTTCATCCTACATTTGATACAGGATCATAATCTTCCTTCACTGGCTCCTAAGACTAGCTTTCCTGGTTTCCCTAATGACCTCACTAACCACCCCCCTAGCTGCCCCCTCTGCTGGCCCTTTCCCAACCTCCAAGCCCCTTTCCTCCATAGCAACATCTACCCCTAGTGCCCTTATCTGGTTCCCCAGCTTTAAGCTGCCTTCCAGGAAGCAGCTCTAGTCGCACTTCCCTAAGCACAACAATCCAAAATCCAATTTTCTCCTCCCTCTTCCTCCCTCTTCCCGCCTCCCCCTCCCTCTCCCCCTCCCCCTTCTTTTTGGTCTTTTTTAGCCCCCAGCTGGCCTGAAACTCATTACGTAGACTAGGCTGGCTTTGAACTCAGAGATCTGCATGAGTCTGCCTCCCAAGTGCTAGGATTAAAGGCGTGCATCACCACACCCAGCTCACAATTTTCTTCTTTTTAAAAAAGGTTTTATTTTTTAACTACATGTATGTATGTCTGAATGTCAGTATGTATGTGTTTAAATGGTGATACCCACAGAGTCCAGAAGAGGGTGTCAGATCCCCTGGAGCTAAATGGAGTTGCAGGCAGCTGTGAGACACAAAATGTGATGCTAGGAACTGAACTTGGGTCTTCTGCAAGAAAGGTATATGCTTTTTTCTTTTTTGAAACAGGGTCAGCCCTAGCTCATCTGGAACTGTCTATATAGACCAGGCTGGCCTCAAACTCATAGAGATAAACATGGCTCTGCTGGGATCAAAGGCATGTACAACCATACCCAGTCAATATGGGTTCTTAATCCCTGAGGATCCCTCAACCCCCTTAAAGTCAATTTTCTACTCCTACCCCACTTTCAACTACCCTTTGTCCTGACCTGCTCATCCTAGAATGCCCTTTACCTCAGGACTTGGCCAATTCATTCTTCCAGCTGCTCAGTTAATAGAAGGAAGTTATTCTTGCCTCCTCCTACTCTCATGTTCATCCAGTCCAGAAGCCAATTCTCTAGGGTTGGCTACTCCCTGGCCTCTGTATGACTAGCACTCTGGCTGGAGCAGCATCAGCTCCCTTGCCTGTGGAGCCATCTCCTGTCCGATTCCTGACTCTGTACACAGTCCCACTCAGCATCCATCATCCAGCATGTCATATACTGTGAAACTGACAAATCCTTCAAGAGACTTGTAGGTACAAGCATCTCACTGACTTAGGGCCAAAGCTGTCTGCTTGTTTTCCATAGTTCTCTCTAAAGAACATTTCTCCTTGTTTCCTGTTTTTGTTTTGTTTTTTGAGGCAGGGTCTCCCTGTAACTCCAGCTGGCCTAGAACTCAGTATGTAGAACAGGCTGGCTTTAATCTCACAGAGATCCATCTGCCCCTGCCTCCCACTTGCCGGGATTGAAGGTATGTACCACAACACCTGGCTAAAGCAACATTTTATAGGAAACTTTATACCCATTGAATTTTAATTATACATCTGAGAATAACTATTAGTACTGAACATAAAGGATGGATATGAGGATCCTCATCTGACCAATCCCACTTCTTCAGACAAAGCTCCCTCCACTGTGGAGACAGTGCTGCCACAATACCAAGTATGGACACTGCTTTCCTGACCTTGCAATGTGAGTACAAGCTGGATTACACATTATTGCATAATAGCACAGTTTTCATGAGAAAATGAAGCTTTTAACACCCTCGAGAACACAGTAAACACTGGGCTGGTTTTAAAGTATACAATAGCAATGTGCGCTTCCTTCCTAGAGTCATCCCAGTAGGTGACCCCAGGCAAACTGGGAGCAGAACCAGCCCAAAGACAACATCACATGAGAGGGAGTTTCAATGCCTCAATGTTACTAAGAGTTAAAGCCCATTCTATCTGCAGGGAAGAGAATGGAGAAGACAGGAAATACTACTACCGGAAGAGTGAAGAAGCTGGGGTTTTTCTCTTCATCTTCGTATTTGCCTTCTGTGGGGCTCCCAGCCTCCATTGATTTAGATGTCGTGTTCTTACCAATGCCCATCATGAAGGGAAGTAGTCTGTACAGCTGTTGGCTACAATGAAGGCTTATTCAAGCCAGGAGTTCACAACCAAAGGCAGGGCTTCTGGGACCAGGAGCACTCCAATTCTCAGACAGAGGTCAGTTCTGTGAGTGTCATGTCTTAGCACCTGCAAAAGACAGTGCAAGAAAATCACCTCAGAGCACACAAAAACACAGGACCCAGGGTCACCCGGTTCTCTGCACAAAGGACAGTACAAGTTATAATCAAACGTCTTGAAAATCGACCACCCAGTCAGGTGTGGTGGCTCGTGCCTTTAATCCCAAGTATCTGGAGGCAGAGCAAGCAGATCTCTGTGAACTGAGGTCCGCCTGCTCTACATAAGGAATTCCAGGTCGACTAGGGTTGCAGGGAAACCTTGTCAACAAACAAACAAACAAACAAAAAACACCATGATCTCAAAATTCAAGAGCAAGGCATGTATCCCAGATGTAGAGCTTTTGCTCTAGTGTATACAGTTTTCAAGATTGTGAATTTTATTCACGACGCTGAAAAAGAGAAAAGAAAATCAGTGAGAGTTAAATAAAGTTCTGGCTCCTTAGATTAAAAAAGAAAAGAAAAGAAAAAGAAAATATACCACCCACACTTTCCAAGAACCCATCCTCTTCATCTACAGTCAACCACCACTTGTAAATTGTCTCCTGGAGAACGGAACATTAAACTGCTTTTTCAGAAATATTATACTAGGGAGAAAAAAATAGCTAAGGTACTACTCTGACATGCATTATGACACATATCCTCTATCCCAGTAGAAAAGAAAAGAAAAAGAAAATATACCACCCACACTTTCCAAGAACCCATCCTCTTCATCTACAGTCAACCACCACTTGTAAATTGTCTCCTGGAGAACGGAACATTAAACTGCTTTTTCAGAAATATTATACTAGGGAGAAAAAAATAGCTAAGGTACTACTCTGACATGCATTATGACACATATCCTCTATCCCAGTACCACCTGACAGAACCTCCTGCAAGGATGGAAAGTTCAGGACCTACCCTCCACATCGCTAGCCGCCTGGCACTTAAAATGTGGCTTGTGACAAGGACGATGACTTTTAATTAAACTATAGGACAATGCAGATACAGCCAATTTGCTGTAACTAAATGGGTATCAAAATAATTCTCAAGTGACCAAATGTGACCTGTGGAAGGTAGAAGATACTCAACAGGAGACAGAACAACCACGTGGCTAGGTACAGCTCCAGTAAGGCAGGGTCTCATCTGTCCCAGGCTAGCCTGGAACACCCAATATAACTGAGGATGACCTTTAACTGATCCTCCTGCCTCCACCCCTTCAAGGCTAGGATTACAGGTATACGCCCAGTTTTATAGGGTATGAGGAATTGAACCCAGAGCTTTGTGCGTGCACTCTACCAACTGAGCTACATCCCTAGCTCTCTAACATCATGAGTCTGAGTGGAGTGGAATATCATGGAAAAAGGAACCAAAATATTCAGGATGAAGGAAATAACTGCACAAGCCTAAATAGAAAACCCAGAACCCTCCACCTCCCCAAAATGGAGGCAACATGACAAGAGATGGGAAGAGAGAATCAACACTACTCAACCCAAGGTAGATGTGACGAGCCTGGAGACTGAAAGATGCTGACAAAATGTAAAAATGAAGTAACACAATATTCCAAACTAACATAAAAATAACAAAGAAAAAAAATCAAAAGCAATAAGACCCTCAACAATTCTATGCAGCAGCCAAGTTTTAGTAAAGAAGGGGAAAAATTAAAACAATTTCAAACCACAAAGCATGACCAGGATAATAGAAATAATCCACCTGGATTACCAAACATTTAGAAAACTTGTCTTCAAAATGAGAAAGTGCAAAACATCCCACAAAGGCTGGCACACATACAATAAAACATGCCTAGGTATGTCTGGATTCTTACAAAGAGTAACGCAAGTGGGCAGAGGTAGGGAGCGAGGGCACCTTCACCACCCGTCTGATTATTAGGGTGATATCAGATCTCACTACCAATTAGTTTTCCACCAAGAAGTAAAAATCCAACCAAGGTGCCCTGAGAATGGGAAGACTGGTTAAAGGGGCATGGATATACAAGTAAAGAAAACTTTCTTCATTTGGACTGGGGGGCAGGGCTATGAAAAGTAAGAACAGAGAGCTCTATGGAAAGAGAGCTTGGCATATTCAGTGATCAGGAGGGCAGAAAAGAGAAACAAAAGAAACAGTTGTCAGAACATTAGTGGCGTTATTGCAGAGCCACACCCATCATACTCTTCTCCAGTGGAGACTCTGATTCACATTTCCGTCCTTCTCATGTCCACAGATCTTCAAGGGACAAGCAGCAATTCTGGAGGGATAGTTGGCCACCACAACTGGGAGAAAGCTTGTACAGGCATGTTGAGGAACAAAGCTACAGAGCCTGAGGGGTGGGGCAACCTGTCAAGGACCAAAATGAAAGTATAAGAGAAAAAGAACAAGTAGAGACAATGAAGTCCCAAAAGACTGAACCTTCCACAAACAGGTACGCATCACTCCTGGAGACAGGCTCAAGGCCAGAAACCACACACCAACTTGAGATCACAGCCTTTGCCCACACAGGATGAACTTTCATGTGGGTAAAAGCCAAGGTCCAGGGGTAAAGTGCAGAAGGTAAAAGGAAGGGGCAAAGGCAGAGGGGAGTTTGGAATCTTATTCAAATCTGTGTTAACACAAAGAAGAAAATCTCCCGGGGGTCTGTCACAGAAAGTTTACTACCCCATGGTGCCCAACACTCCTCTTCCTGCTCCTTGAAAGAGGATGGAGAATGAGATGGGCCACTTGCCATCTTGTCCCTGACCACTTGCAGAGGGGAAGAAGTGTTTGAGGGATGAGGGGAAGGCATTGTAGAGGGATGGAAGACCCTGATGACAACAATGGCAGTTGTCTCTGCATGCAAAGTGGCCACATATGCTAGACATATGAAAGCAGCAGGTATTCCTGGCCAGCAAGTATAATCTTATTTGATTTTCCCATTCACACAACCGAAGTGGAAAGAGCTTTGGAGAAATAACCCAAAAGACGCACAGATACAAGGTGGTGCAGGACGTAAACATTAACCGGTATTTCTAACCTGTCCTAAGTTTTTAGATAAAAGAAGTCCTATATATGACCTTTTACTGCTCAGCTTGCAGCTGAGCTCCCCGGCCCAGGCCAGCTATTGGCAAGCACTGTCTCAGCAAGGCCTGCTGGTAGCTTTGTCCTTTGCATAATTACTGAAGATGCTCCAAGGAGACACAACTAAGAGTTCTTTCCAAAGGTTATGCCCGCCCCCCTTCATGGAGCTGTGTGGGCTGAACAGAAATCTTATTGTGTAGTCACGTGAATGGTCTTTAGACACTGCAACAAGGTGATCAGGCAGTGATGGGAGCTACCCCAACAGAAGGTGGAGTGGGTTGCCCCCTCCTCAGACTAGGAACTCCGCAATCAGCGTACTCCTCCCCAGCACTTCACTCTATATAGCATGTGCCACTGTTATCCACCATCATGTCTAAGCAGCATCACCAATAGCAACTGTTAAATCACCTTCTTCATGGTGCACCTATATACATGCTGGCAAAATACTCATACATACAAAATGAGAAATGAAATTTAAAAAAATATTTTGTTTTATTGAGACATTATAGCCCAGCTGATCTGAAACTTGCTAGGTAGACCAGGCTGGCCTCACAGAGATCTGCCTGCCTCTGTAGGCAGCTCATAAAAAGTTTTTAAAGGGCTGTGACCATCATCAAAGAACATATGGTAAGCTGGGCACGGTGGCGCAGAGGCAGGTAGATCTCTGTAAGTCCAAGGTCAGCCTGGGCTACATAATGAGTTCCACACCAGCTGGGGCTACAGGGAGACCCCGCCTCTGAAAGACCAAAAAAAAAAAAAAAGAAAGAAAGAACATATGGTAGACATCATTGAGCCCACAAACACCTAAGGTATCTACAGATAAGTGTGCCAACCCCAGGTTACAACAGAAAAATTCTGTTCAGAACAGCAATAATGTTAAATACATATGAATAAAAGGTCAGCCTGGTCTACATAGAGTTCCAGCTTTGCTGGGGCTACAGGAAGACCCTGTCTCAAAAAGACTTAAAAAAAAAAAAAATAAAAAAAAGGAAGCCAGCTCTTGCATCGTGCTCTGAAGTACCTGTCTCATCATATGATCTCTCCTTCTGACCCTAGCAATGATGTCATTAGCATGAGCTGATGCAGGCAGGCAAGTCCCTGACCTTGTTAGAGGCCTGGATCTGACCCTCTACAAAAGTCAGCACCAAGCTGTTTGGACTTTTGATCTCCAAAAGTGTGAAATAAACTCCTTTTCTTTACAAATTATCCAGCATCAGGTATTTTATAAATAGTCAAAACAAGTCTGAAAGTCACTGATGTAATTAAAGCTCTGCAGTGACGCAAAGGTATAAAGCCATGTGCCTGAATTAAATCAGGTTATTTGCTGAGCACAACTAATGCTCAGAGACAATGTGCCAAAGTAAGAGCACAGAGCAAGATGATGACACCAGTAACAAAAAACCCCTTCAACAATGGACAAGTGCCTGTTAACACAGCTTAGAGTGGGCTTCCATGACACTAGTAATCTACAAGGTCCCCATACAAGCCACTCCACTGGCTGCAATGGGAAGGCTAGAAGGGTCCTCTACTCTCTGAAGCCCCACCAGAGTTATCTGTCAGTGTCTTGGCTTATGGACTTCTCTTAAGAAAAAAAGCATTTTGGGCCAGTGAGATTGCTCAGTAGGGGAAGGAGTTTTTGAGCCCTGAGACCTACATGGCAGAAAGAAAGAGACAACTAACTCCAGCAAGTCGTCCTGTGACCTCCACATGTGTGCGGTGGCATGCAGGCACGCATGCATGCACACACACACATGAGCAATAAATAAGTAAATAAATGAAACAAAAAATTAAGAAAAAGATCATTTCAAAAAAAGCAGATGAAGCCTGATTTCTGAAGGGGAACAGGTTTCAAGGCAGGTTCCACCTCAGAAAATCAGTTCTGGTTCCATCTGCAGAGCCTAGAAGTGCCAAGAGAAGTGAGCCCCACCCTACAAGGTGGAGACCCTGGCTCACTCACGCTCAGTTGGGGGAAGAGGCAGAGCTGTGCCCAGTAAAATATAAGACCAGTGCTCATTGTTTGGATGTGGACCTTAACATACAAAGTCTACCAGCAATCTATATCCATATGACCTAATGGTACAGGTATCAAATACTATATTACCAACTTTGCTTGGAATCTCGCACCAGAAATTTCTTCCCCAAACACTATTTTAAGTAAAATTCTGACAAGACCCTCTTCAGTCTCCTCATTCTGAACATTGCTCCCAGCTCCAGGTCCCATCCACATTGACCATGCTGATCTCTAGTTCCCGGGTTTGAGCTCAAGGAACTGCCTCCTCCAAGTATTCCCGAGTTAGCTGCCCCTCTTCCACATTTCCAAGACATCTGGCATTGGTCCATCTTCCCCAACAAGCAGGGAATGGGACACGGAATCTAGTACATAAAATGCACTCACATCGTTCAGGGAAAACTGAATGAGCCAGCTGGTCACATACACAGAAACAACACTTAACTGCTGTCCAGATTTATTCAGGGAAACATGGCTAGAACATGAAAAGGAAAGAGATAGGGCCAGAATTAAAATACAAATGTAGGGCTTGGGTGCAGCTCAGTGGGACAGGGCTTGCTTTGCATGTTCAAGCTTTGGGTTCTATCCCCAGCACTACAAAAAACAAGCCAACAGTATTAATCATCCTCCATCACAGAAGCCCCCTCAAAGTTAACTGTGTGTGGCATGTGCGTGGGTATGTGTATGCACATTCACATGGAGGCCAGAGGTCAACCTTGGGTGTGGTTCCTCAGGTACACTCCACCTGGATTTTTAAAAAATATTTTATTATTTTAATATTTACATGTATGACTGTACTGCCTACATATATGTAGGTGCACCCATGTCATACAATGCCCACTAAGGTCAGAAGAGGATACTGAATCTCCTGGAACTAGAGTTACAGATGGTTGTTAGCTGCCATGTGGGTGCTGGGAACTTCTGAACCTGGGTCCTATGCAAGAGCAGCCAATGCTCTTAACCACTGAGCCATCTCTCCAGTTCCTCCACCTGGATTTCTCAGAGTCTTCTATTGGCCTGGAGCTCCCTGAGTAGGTTGACCGGCCTGTCTCCATACCCAAAGACTGCACATCTCCCCAAACTGCCTTTCACTAAAAGTCCTGCCTCCTGCAGACTCTCCCTAGGTAACGAAAAGAGGATTCACCCATGGTCTGTGACCTGCTGGCCCAAAGATGGGTTTGCCTAAATTACATTGAAATTAGCCAGAATGGGATACCATAGTCCTTACCCAGATTAAAACCAACTACATAGTGATTGAAAAAGCAAAGAAAGCCTGTGAACATGTTGTGCTTTTTACCCCCTACAAGGGATGTTCCTCTTAAGAAAGTCATTTAAATTTTTTTTCTGCCAGTCACACACACCTCTAATCTCAGCATTCAAGAACCTGAGGCAGGAGGACTGCAAATTCAAGGCCAGGGGGCAAGATTAAGAGATCCTATTTGGGCTGGAGAGATGGCTCAGCAGTTAAGAGCACTGACTGCTCTTGCAGATGACCTGGGTTTGATTCCCAGCACCCACATGACGGCTACGAACCAAACCGGCCTTGACTCCAGTTCCAAGGGAATCTGATGCCCTCTTCTGACCTCCGAGGCATTGCACGACAGGGGTGCACTCACATACATATACAGGCAATACACTCATACACATAAAATAAAAATAATAAAAAATTTTTTTAAAAAAGAGATCCTATCTCAAAAAAATAAAAAATAAAACAAAATAAAACACTAAATACAGAATCTGCAATCAGTCAGACCTGGATGCACAGAGGTAATGCTTTTCTCAGATATCTGGACTTGATATTCTCTAAATCTAAAAACTTTATAAGGACTTTAAAAAAGCATGTCTACCATAAGAGACCCAGCTCTTTATAAAATTTGGTTTTTCTGTTTCTTTGTTCATATACTTGTTTTTCTTCAAGGCCCTAAAAATGCTGAACCCAGGAAACCAGAAAAAGCACGCACAGGGCTTTGTCAGTCTCAAGCTGTACTTGCCTCAGAAAGTAGAGCAAATGTGCATGTGGGGGCGGGACTGCTGCACATGAGGGTTTCAGTCACTCTTCCACGTGTGTATAAGGAAGGGTCATCTCCTAAGAACTGATAGCTAATACTCAGTTATCACTATTTAAATAATGTCTGAAAATACAGTGAAAGACTGGACATTTTCTTGTAATACAACTTGGTGAACTTGAACTATAGACTCCTGACCCACCTATAATAGACACACAGAAAGACAAACACACATACACACACATACACACACACACACACACACACACACACACACACCTCTGATTCTGCCCTTCTCTCTCTCTCTCGTGTGTGTGTGTGTGTATGTGTGTGTATACAAAACCAGACATATGGTCATGACACAATCACACAAAGGTACATACATGTTCACAGATCCACATACAGAAACAGACAGACAGACACAGACACACACACACACACAGACACACACACACACAATGAAACAGACCCCCACACACAACAAAATAGACACATTCAAACACAAAGATAGGAATCATCCCAGGAAACCTCAGAACTCATCCCCCAAAAGCAGAGCTTTTGTGCCAAGCAATGGCCATACCTTCATTATGGAGCCTCACCTTGTTCATAACAGGGTCCTGGAAATCAGTGCACTACCCACTACGCCTGTGCCGTGCTGTGACTCTCCTGGGGTTTAGCAGGAGCAGCTTTCAGGTGTTGAAGCAATTTCAGCTTTTATAACCCACATAAGCAGGCCAAAATTGTATAACCAACCACACCACCTCATCGGAAATTCTATCTGCATTACACAATAGCCACCGCCTGGTTACAAACAGTTACTGCAGGAATCTTGCTTCTACATACAGGACAGCCTGAATATTCTACTGTAGAACCCTAGCAGTTTCTGGGCTTGTATTTCACAAACTCAAACAAGAGAAATCAAACTGGATATGGTGGTGCATGCCTTTAATCCCGACACTCAGGAAGCAGAGGCAGAGGCAGGTGGATCTCTGTAAGATTGAGGTCAGCCGGATCTACATAGTGAGTTCCAAGCCAGCTGACGCTACAGGGAGACCCTGTCTCAAAAAGATCAAAAAGAAAAGGGCCGGGGGGAGAAGAAATTGAGAAATTGAAACATCTTTCCAAAAAGTTCAGATAGGCCAATCTACCCATGCCAGTTCACCAGGATTAATTCTACACAGTGGCAATTTTTCTTTTCCCCAGTGAAGAGCCCAAGGGCAGATGATTGCAAAATTCAAAGAACTTCAATGATATCCAGAACCTCTTCATTAAATCAAAGTAAAGTCAATGCATAACTGTAATACTGAAGAGTTGACTGCTGGAGCCCAAGTCCCGGAGGTGTGTGGTAGGCAGGTTCCAACTACACAGCCCCTCAACAGAAGTGCCTGTGAAGACCAAGGAAAAGGCTAAACTACAGGGACAACCTAACATCAGCAACAGGAAAAAAGTTGCAAGACTGTCCTTCTTAGTGCTGCCCCAGCCCAGGCTAGCAGAGAAATGGAGCCTCCATCTCATACCAGACCACACTTCCCCAAACTAGACAGAGACCACAGGCTCAGATGACAGCCAGGCAGGCAGGAGGGGCTCTGCTGGCAACGAGAGCACCTAGGAGTCGGGGTCTTGGGGATAAAGAGAAGAGGAACCAGGAGAAAAGCAGCTGAGAGTACAGCTGCCTCATGAAACCTTGAGGAAGTCAGCAGTAAAGAAGATGCCATGGGACAGAGAGACCACCTGGAAATCGGGGAGAAGCTTGGCAAAAGGACTCTAAAGCTTAAGCCCCGAGGCACAGCCAGAAAGGTCCAGAACACAGAGCCCCAAATGACCACCCTGCAGAGTCAGTGCCCAGGAAGCCAAGGGCTCCTAGTCAGGATTCTATGGACTCCAAAAGTACTCACTGCAGGAACAAAGAGAAATTTCAAAAAACAGAAAAGAGGAGAGTACAAATCTTTTGAAAGTACTTGTTTAAAAAGGAACAGAATCAAGTAACTACATGAAGAAAACAAGGGGGGGGGCCATAACAAGTCAGAACCGGGAAGAGTGAACTGAGCAACAGAAAGGAGAAGTGGAACCACAGAACGTGTCAACAGCAATGGAGGAGCAGCTAGAGGAAGCCAGGGAAAAGGAAAAGTACGAAAAGGCAGTGCTCAGAGAGCAGAGCCCCGGCAGAAGGCAGCACTGCAGGACAACCAGTGCTTCCCGCTCGGACAGAGCAGGCGCAGGAGGCCAGTCAGGTACGAGACTCTGAGAAGCGAGGGTACAGAACAGACAGCGCGGTAAGAACTGCAGGGCTGCGGTGGGCAGGGCCTGGAGTGGGTTGGGGGTTCACTGTGAAATAGAAAAATATTCTAGAATCAGACTATGGCACTGATAGTTCTGTGAATACACTAAATGAATAAAAGATGGAAAATTATTACTATAAGTGAAATGTATCTTAATAAATAGGAATTTTAAAATTAGGACTGGGGCTGGATGTGGTGACACATGCCTTTAATCCCAGCACTCTAAAGGCAGAGGCTGGCAGATCTCTGTGAGTTCAAAGCCAGCCTGATCTACAGAGAGAGTTACAGGCTAGCTGGAGCTACAGGGAGACCCTGTCTCAAAAAAAAAGAAAGAAAGAAAGAAAGAAAGAAAGAAAGAAAGAAAGAAAGAAAGAAAGAAAGAAAGAAAGAAAGAAAAAGGAAGGAAGGAAGGAAGGAAGGAAGGAAGGAAGGAAGGAAGGAAGGAAGGAAGGAAGGAAGGAAGGAAGGAAGGAAGGAAGGAAGGAAGGAACAAACCTGTTCTGAACTTAAGAAATAGCTGAACTTGCACTGCAAGGGCTTAGAGGCTCATGCAAACTCAGGGAAACCTATATTTGGACACATCCTAGCAAAATAATGTAACCATAAGGATGAAAAGTCATAAACACATCCAAGAACAACAACAAAAAATCTGGTTTACTTTAGTTTTATACCACATATCAATGTTTTGGTCAGAAAAAGACTTTACATCCAGTGGTGGCTATGCCAAATAGCTTAGGTATATAGTCGGTGTCACCATCTCTGTATTCGAGGTCCACCCAACCACATTGTCTAGGGACACATCTCAAAAAGTGTGCCCTTTATTAAGTGCTCTGTGACCATGTATACTGGCATTGCCTCAAGACCTAGCCACAGGATCTCCCATGACAATATGAAATGCCCCCAAAACAATGAAGCATAAATGTGAACTGAGGAAAAGAGCTGTCCAAAGAGCTGTGTGCCAGGTAAGGTGCCCTCTGTATATCGTGTCAAATAGGTCATTTTCATACACTCAGCCTCAAAACAAAAAGGTAGACCCAAAATGCAGAGATCACTAATATGTAAGTATACTAACAGCATGCCCAAATCAAGTGTAGGACAGAGCTAAATAAACTTTGTAAGCTTAATTACAAAATTGAATGCTTATGTCAAATTAGTCTCTAGATGGATGCTTTATAATGAAAAATCAAAAACAAAAAAAGCAGACCCAACCAGATTACATTATCAAAGACTGAAGACAGGGGGGTGCCATGGTTTGACCTCCAAAGGCTGGTATAATGGATGCCTGAGTTCTCCTGTGGCAGTGCTGAGGTGGTAGAACCTTGAGAAGCAGAGTCCAGTGGGTGGTCGAGGAACTGCCTTCAGAACTAATTAACATTAGTTTCACATAGTGAATTAGTTCTTCCAGGCAGCAATGTCATAAAAATAAATAAAAATTTCAAAACGTAAAGCCTACTCAGATGCTTGGGAATGGGCTCCCTCTGTGCTCTGTCCTATTGTGCATAGCCAGGAGGCTCTGGGTTAGATGTTACATCATGCTCTTACATTTCTACAACAGTAAGCTAAACCTCTCTTCTCTTAGACTTAGTCTCGGGTGTTTTGTTACAACACAGAACTGACAAATATGAGGATTAATAAGATGTCAAAACTCTCTCAGTCAAGAATTTAAAAACACAATGAGGCTGGGCGTGGTGGTGCACGCCTTTAGTCCCAGCACTCGGGAGGCAGAGGCAGGCAAATCTCTGTGAGTTCAAGGCCAGCCTGGTCTACATAGTGATTTCAGGTCA